GAGAAAAAAATCGGTCCTGGACATCGACCCAAGGGCAACGAGGACACGACGAGGCGGATGGGAGATTCTGTCGTCCCGCAGGGGTCATGAGGCACTGTGCACGGATCTCCCTCGTTGACCACGCGAATGCCGCATGACGAACGCTCACCCCTCCGGGGGGGCTAGTGCGCCTCTCTGTTTTTTGCGCGCCACGTGGATTCTTAAATCTTAAACTTCGCCTCGAGGTGGTGCAGGCCAGATGCGTCCAATTACGCGTCAAAGTTAGGGATTTAACACGGACGTTGTACACCGAACGCTGTCCGATTTTAATTATTTTTTTGCAGGCCATAACCGGGCCAAATTGAGGGGACGATGGCCGCCTCTGCAAGGCAACAGAGCCCCTCTCTCTCCCCCTCCCTCCCGCCCCCCCCCCCACCCCGGGCCATAGACCCGCCCCCCACTGATGAGGTTTTACCTCCCGACGCAAATGTGCGCACGTGTTTTTGTCGGGTTTGTTTTTAATTCAGGACGTGGCGCAGAGGTCAGAGAGAGCTTGGGTTCGAATCTGGGTTTCAGCCACTGCCCTTGATGTGACCGGGTTCGCAAGCATGGCGAGTGGTCTCAGCCTGGTCGCAGAGAGTCCACGGGAGAAAAAAATGCATCGCATTAATTTGGCTTTTCACTCACAGAATCAAAATATATCTGACTGCCGTTGCGACGAACATTTCCCGTACCGGGCGCCCGCACGCACGTGTACATGTGCCAGCAGCGTGTTGTTACAAAGAGGTCACGCAAAGGGATCTCAGGAGTAGTTCTGTGACACCTCCTTACGCGAGATGTTTCCGAACGAAACGGTAGCGGCGAACGTCGTGTGACCCTGGGCCCCTCTGTCCCGTGCCCCCCCCCCCCCCCCGCCCTGATGGCTATGCTCACGGCAACCTCCCAAGTGAAATTGGAGCGCCGAGGTCATCGTGGCGTGGAGCCCCGGCGGCGAAGGCAGCGGCGTAGCTGGCGAGTGCACAGGCCGGTGCAACTGTACCCCCCCCCCCCACCGCCGCCGCGTGGCCCACGGAAGGGCGCAGGTGCCGGGGCTGTGACGAGAGAGGGAGGGGGATGAGGTGGGGGATGAAATGAGGACATACATTATAATGAGGTCGCACTCATTACATGCAACGTGCTTGTTGCAAATTAAACACAATGCCTCGCTGATGTCGTCCAGGAACAGAAACCGTCATCACGCAAACTCCGGTCATCCTCGCAGCAGCGGCTTTTGGTTGGCCATCGAACAAAGACGGTCACTGCATTACCGCGTGCTTTCAGATGCGCTTCTGCGGCCGTCTGGAATGCCTCTTCCGATATTAGGAAGCCACTGAAGCTACGCACTTTTAAATAATCTGTATTGAACACTCATTTCGTTACAACAGCTTTTTGTGTTTAGTTTGTTGTGCTTCCCCATGCACCTCCAATTAGCAAGGTTGTCTACGTACGGTGCGAAAGAAGTTCAAAATACATAGCACGGTTGGCGGCACCAGTTGTAGTGGATTCAACTGAGTCGCAGGCGTACACCAACACATAACACAAATGGGTTACTGCCCCTGTACCAGATAACCTATGGTGGTGGACCACCAGGCTAACTACGCTAGTTACTGGGAGTAGCTACAATGGACAGGACCCGAGCTGGGGTCCTCGTCCACATGTTGGTGACTTCTTCTTGGACGTAGAACGTAGATCGTAGATCTTCAGATGACGGCAGCAACACTGAACCCCGGTCCCTGTGGGGACCCGGTTGATCTGCTCCCGGGTCGTGGCTGGCCCCGCCCCTGGCCACGCCCACCTTCGAGAAACCTCTTGTTGTTTCTCGGATCTCACCCTGACACGTGACCACCCCCTAGCCCCCACCTGGGGCCCTAGTGTAGATCTTACTGGTCACGTGCCTTCCGGGGTCAACCAGAGTGCCACGGCCCGGGGTAGCCTCACCCCATGGCTGACACTCTCACACTCCCTCCCGTAGGGGTCGGCACTGCACGCCACGCGTGGTGCCACTGAGCGCTATCCCACCCACCTACGGGGTGTCCGCGATGGCGATGCATCGCACGTCGTGCCTCGCTAGGACAGGCATTACCCAGTGACATCCACGATGTCGCTACACATACGGTGCGAAAGAAGTTGAACATGCGTACATAGCAAGGTTGGCTACGTATGGTGTGAAAGAAGTTCAACATATTTAAATATCACTGTTGGCTACGTACGTCGTGAAAGAAGTTCAACATATGTACATAGCATGGTTATCTACGTACGGTGTGAAAGAAATGTAACATGTACATAGCACGGTTGGCTAAGTACGGTGCGAAAGAAGTTCAACACACGTACATAGCAAGGTTGGCTACGCACGGTGCGAAAGAAGTTCAACACACGTACATAGCACGGCTGGGTACGTAGGGTGCGAAAGAAGTTCAACACACGTACATAGCACGGTTGGGTACGTAGGGTGCGAAAGAAGTTCAACACACGTACATAGCACGGTTGGGTACGTAGGGTGCGAAAGAAGTTCAACACACGTACATAGCACGGTTGGGTACGTAGGGTGCGAAAGAAGTTCAACATGCGTACATAGCACGGCTGGGTACGTAGGGTGCGAAAGAAGTTCAACATGCGTACATAGCACGGTTGGGTACGTAGGGTGCAAAAGAAGTTCAACACACGTACATAGCACGGTTGGGTACGTAGGGTGCGAAAGAAGTTCAACACACGTACATAGCACGGTTGGGTACGTAGGGTGCGAAAGAAGTTCAACACACGTACATAGCACGGCTGGGTACGTAGGGTGCGAAAGAAGTTCAACACACGTACATAGCACGGCTGGGTACGTAGGGTGCGAAAGAAGTTCAACACACGTACATAGCACGGTTGGGTACGTAGGGTGCGAAAGAAGTTCATCACACGTACATAGCACGGTTGGGTACGTAGGGTGCGAAAGAAGTTCAACACACGTACATAGCACGGCTGGGTACGTAGGGTGCGAAAGAAGTTCATCACACGTACATAGCACGGCTGGGTACGTAGGGTGCGAAAGAAGTTCAACACACGTACATAGCACGGCTGGGTACGTAGGGTGCAAAAGAAGTTCAACATACGTACATAGCACGGCTGGGTACGTAGGGTGCGAAAGAAGTTCATCACACGTACATAGCACGGCTGGGTACGTAGGGTGCGAAAGAAGTTCATCACACGTACAGGAAGCGGCCCCACTCCGCTTGACTCCTCTTCGCGCCGGGGCCCGTGCCGAGCGCGCGGCACCCCGGGGCGACGAGCAGGAGTTTCTCTGTGAGAGGATCCGTCACCGCACCTGTGCGGTGACGTTGTGGTGGTGGCGGTGGTGACGGTGGCGGCGATGGGGAACGGAGCGAATAATCAACGGGGGAGAGAGAGAACTCCGGTCGCGCTGGCGGTGGTCCGTGCGGGGTGGGGGGCAGCTGTTATGAGAATGGGGGGCGTGGGGTGATGAAGGTGGTGGTTGTTGGGCGGGGGGGGGGCGGTGGTGGTGGTAGGAGCGGTGGCTGTAGCGGTCGGCGTGGACTGGGCTCAGGAGGCAACCCGGCGACAGTTTAATTTCCGCTCGCGATCAACACGATCATCTGAGCAGATCGTGGACCCGGTGCGGCGGTGTGTAAACATCGTCACTGGGGAGACAAAGGTGGCCAGGGGTGGTGCTTGGCCACCCACCCCTCGTGCATCGTGCCGGCCTTCATAGGCGTTCGCTAACAACACTTATCTGTCGAAGGTTTTACCGGGGACATCTTTGGGGGCGAGGGGCAGCGGTGGTGCGGGCGAGGGGGTATTTGGTTTTGTGGGGGCCGTTGTGGTAAGAGGGGACGATGTGGTAAGTCTGTGTGTGTGTTGACCTTGTTTCTCACCGTACAAATCAATTTATAACATTTTTGACATGCGTTTTTCTGGATTTTATTGTTGTTATTATGTCTCTCACTGTTCAAATAAACCTACCATTAAAATTATAGACTGATCATTTCTTTGTCAGTGGGCAAACGTACAAAATCAGCAGGGCATGAAATACTTTTTTCCCTCACTGTATGTGGTAAGTGGGGGGCGATGTGGTAAATGGGGGGCTATGGGGTCTGCGTAGAGATGGGTACCAGGATGGAGTCTCGCTGCTGTGGTGGCCCCTCCGCGTCCGTTGATCGCACCGTGGATTCATCGATGGCGCTGATTGACGGGCGGCACTGGCAGGAGGCTGATAGAGGCATTGATGAGTGCGATGATGTGAGCGATGGAGTCTTGAGATGGCGATGGTGAGCACTGTGACAATATTTGTTTATTTATGATGATGATGTTGACATGATGATGCATTCAAGGACGATGTCCCGTAGATGATAATAATTTAGTTGATGTATTATCCAAATAATTATTTGGATAATCATGATTTTGATGCTGAGTGACACGATTATGTCGATGATGATGAGTGAGATGATGATGATGGTGATTGAGATGATGATGATGATGGTGGTGGCAATGATGATGGTGAGTGAGATAATGATGGTGGCGATGGTCGTGACGTAGACGACGTGGCTTGGATAGTAGATGAGGACCGTGAGTTTAGGCACGTGAGCGAGCAGCTCTCGATTGAAAGGTCGCGACTTTGAACGCTGCCCATTGGTCGACTCATCGTCCCTCTGGGGGTCAATGCAATGAGCACCACTTGTGGGGAGGTCATCAGTGGTTGTCCTGCAGATGGACTCGCCATTGCCACATTAATGTGGAATTTCCATCAATGGCTCAGGGTTGTTAATGGGGGAGAATTACCACCTCAATGCTAATTGGGGGAGGAAATCAGCTGTATGTATTATGGCGATTATGATTTAAATAATAATGATGACGATGGTGATACTGGGTACAATTATCATGATGATAATGATGATAGTGATGATGATGTAGATGACGGTGGCAAGGCTGATGGTGATGGTGACGATGGTGGCGAGGATGATGATGACGATGTGTCTCCGCAGTCTGCACGGCCGTGCCGCAGCGCGTGTGGGTCGAGGAGTCCGATTGGTCCACGGTGCGGGTGCGCTGGGGACGAGCACGTGTCGTTGCCGGTGGCGACGCCGCCTCCGTCGCTGTGGTGATGTACGCCGTGTCCATGGAGCGCTCCGGGGAGGGACGGAGACTTACGCGGCGCACCCACGGAGAGACCGATACGGTGAGACACACGCACAGGCACACTCACGTGCAGGCACACAAACTGTCTAACACGTAGGCTTTCGTGACCAATATCATCCATTATACAGGTTTTTTGGGTGAAATCTCGTAAATAAAAATATGTCGTTAAACCCGTCACCACCCGACACAGCCAACTAGTAAGGTTTGTCACATAAACACAACGTGCCAATTCGTCACTAGTACAGCACCGCACCGGTTGTGTGTTGGGGGGCAAAGCCACAACATTGACAATCTGAGTGCCGTGACGTGTCGCCAGTAATTGCAACGAGCTTCATCAGGCGACAGCCAGAGTTGTGGAGAAGTCCTCCTTTTTCGTTCCTTAAATAAAGGCGCAGGTTTGATGACAACACGTTTGTGCTCTTCTTGCGCGAAGTGGGGGAGGGAGTTAGTGAATGCATGAAGATGACTTTGGGCATCCATTGCCGTTTGGGTTATTTATGGTAATCGGCGAACATTATGCGAGCCCATTGTTCTTGTACTTCCTGTTGATTGTGTGAACTAAAATAGCAGTACCAACGGCAATCCCTGTTGAAGTATGGTGACCTGTATAGACATGCATTTAAATAATGTATTATTTGATGATTCGCTTCCAAGCAGCACTTATCCTGTAGCTATCCGAATGGTTAAAAATATATATTTCTCTCAATTTCGATACAGTAAATCCTCTAATTAGTCTTGGCCAATAGTAACTAGTTTTGCACAGAACTTCAACATTATCAAAACCAATTGAGTGTCCTTGTTGGCGCACAAGTGTTGTCATTACATCTACGCAATGGCGGAGCCAGGATTTTCAGGTAGGGGGGGCAACCCCTCCAGCAATGACAAATGACAGAGGAGTTGTTAGTAAGTAAGGACTTGTCCCTTGCTTTTTATTCGACGCGTGTGCGGCGATGGCGCAGCCATCGATCGAGGGTCGAATTCGAACCACGTCGTGTGATCGGCATCGCGCTCGCTGAAGGTGTTTGCCTTCAGGGAAGTCGTGTACTGTATACACAACTGTGCACAATTATATGAGTCACATAGAACTGCTTTGCCGCTACTTATTGCCAGTTATGGACTCAGACTATTGTCCTATGATCTCATAGAGTCCCTGGCATGTAATAATATGCTACACAGTGGCAGTGGGTGTCGCAAGATGCCGATTTATTACTAATAAACCTCATGGGGGGGGCACGTGCCACCCCACCCCCCACTGCAGTACATCTACGCCTCTATTTGAGGAACGAAACAGGTGGACTTCTCCACAAATCTGGCTGTCGCCTGATGCTGCTCGTTGTAATTACTGGCGAAACGTCACGGTCCTCAGATTGTAAACGTTGTGGCTTGGCTCTCCAACACACAAGCGGCTAGTGCTGTACTAGTACACTACACTATACACTAGTGCTGTACTAGTACACTACACTATACACTACTATACACTACATTATACACTAGTGCTGTACTAGTGACGAATTGGCACGTTCTGTTTACGTGACAACCCTTACTAGCTGGCTGTGTCGGGTGGTGGCGGGTTTAACGACACATTTTATATATTTTCGCGATCTAACCCAAACAACCTGTATAATAGAGGCACACACGCACGCACGGAGAGACAGAGACCGTACGACGCACACACGCGCGCTTGCACTCACTCACGTACAGACGCACACACGTACGGAGAGATGGACACGGTGAGATGCACACACCGCGCACTCACTCATGTACAGGCACACACACACAGGCACACTCACGGATTCATGTACAGACACACGTACACACGCACTCACGTACAGACACACACGCACTCACGTGCAGAGACACTTACACAGACGCACTCAGGTACAGACGCACACAAACACACGCGTGCACGGAGAGACGGACACGGTGAGGCGCATACACACACACATGCACTGACTCGCGTACAGATTAACGTACACACACGCGTACCCACGCATTCACATTCGCGCTGGGTTAGGATAAGTGTCGCGAACACATAGCTATGAGGACACTGAGACATGTGGGATTAGTGTTGGGAGGGAGGGGAGCTGCCGTTTGGAAATGTGTGAACGAACAGAGGAGAGTGGAGCTGCCACCTTTGCGGTGTGAACTCGTAGCCAGAGGGCAGAGGGAGGGAGAGGGCTTGTGTTGTCAAGACCCTCCACCGCCCCGACGCAGCCACACACGTGTTCGTTGTCGCTCGCTCACCGGGTGAGGTGAAGAGCGACCCTCACCGCCGGAATTGGGCAGCGATGAGATCCGCAACGTTTCACTTGAAACCCGCGCTAAGCGTCCTCCAGGAAATCCGAATCACCAAGTGGGAACGAGGTATCTTAACGGCAAGGATTTGCCTGGATACCTACGTGGCCTGACCCAAAATCCAACGATGAAACGCACAACATTGGCCCAGAAAACGTACGCGTCAAACGAGGTGCCAACACGTGTAAGATGCACACACATCCTCCAGGGCGTGCGACGTTTTGCCAACGAGGAACCGTCAGGCAAACTTTGGCTCAACGTTGGTCCAACGTTCCACGTGAACTGGCACAGCATTTCCTGACAATGTGCATTGTCGTCCTCTTGCGCTGCCTGTCAGTTGGCAACATTTGCTTTGTTTAAAATTTGATGTGAACGCGGTGCCGTTTTCCAGGATGATTTTGGGCACCATGGTGGCTAGGAGATGTTAACTACCTCGCCTTGTATACAGGAGGTCGTGGGTTCAAGCCCGACTCTTACGCATGTTTATTTGGAGTTTGCATGTGTTTCTCTCTGTGGTCGCATGGATTTTTCTCCGGGTCCTCCGGTTTTCCCTCCACATCTAAAATCAACGGCACACGTTGAGAGTATTTGGCTGCTATCAATTTCCATGTGATGATAAGCCACTTCGTTGAGCTATTATTTGTGGCCTGAAAAAGCGCTACGTAGCTCAGTGGGCTTTATCTGGAAAAAATACATCGTTTTTCGCATAATACACAGAGGCAGTGTGCTGTTTACACGCATTTCCAGCCTGCGCTATCATTCACGTGTGATGATAGGATTTTTTCTTCATTAACAGTCTTGATTTTTGAACCATACATTTAGTTAGTGTTCCCTGTGTTTGTGTTTGTATGCAGTGCCAGATTATCCTAGTAGCAAAAGCAGCATTTTCAAGGGCCCCGCGCTAAATGCTTTCAAGCTATCAATTCCGGTTCAGTGGTTCTGCACTTGCTCTATTACTATAGTACTATACGGCCTTCAACTTTTATGAACGACTGGGTGTTTAAGTTTAGCGATTTGTCGTATTATATGGCTGTATAGCAAATACAAAAAATACAATTACTTTACTGTGCAAGTAAAAAATGTGTTAAAATGAAAATTTTATTTATTTATTTAGGGCCCTTTTATAACATATGCTACAGGCCCCTCCCTAGCTTAATCTGGCAGTGTGCATGTGTACGTGTGTGTGTGCGTGCAAACACAACCTCCTACCTCCTCGTGGTGCTGGACGGCAACGCTGTGGTGGGCAGTGCCTTGGGGGGAGGGCCAATTTAAATTGGCCTTTCCCCTCATGGCGTTTGTAACTACCACAGCGGCCAAATGGGGGCTCTAGATGGGTGCGAGGGGCTGATAACCCCTCCACCTTCAATTAATTACCACTAAACCACGTCTGAAAAATGTAATTAATAAGCTTTTGCCGGAGGCCCCGGGGGTACAGGCGTCTATGACGTCTCTTGGCCAAACCCCATTTGGCGGAGCCAGGAGACTGAATCCTTATCCTCGGGGCTCCTCCAGAAACAACAAAAAACCACTACGTGTGGCCATGTGGAATGTTCGAACGCTCACTGCGGAGGAGAGGCTGCCACTCCTCTGTCGGGAGCTGGACCGGTACTGCCTGGATCTCTGTGGTATTCAGGAGGTCCTGGACCTCCCTAATGGAGCATCTTCGCCGGTTGGAAACATTTAGGCTGGCCTGCCTACGATCCATCCTGAGTTTAACCAGGCTGGATTGTGTGAGGAGCTCACAAATCCTTGCAAGATCTGGGCAAAGTCCCATCGGTGAGCTCCTCCGGCAGGCAAGGCTGCATTGGCTGGGTCATGTAGCCCGCATGCCCAGCCACCGCATGCCTAAACAGCTTTTGTTCGGCCGGATCGAGGGGGCTAAACGGGCGCGGTATGGGCTAGAGAAGAGATGGCGTGATGTGGTACAGGAGGACGTGGAGCTGAGTGGACTTGCCAATGACTGGTACCAGCAGTGTCAAGATCGGCCTCTGTGGAGGAGGCTCGTGAAGGACGCTACTGGGCAGTTGGAGGCAGTCGCCCTCCAACAACAATGGAGGGCGGAGGAGCGATGCTCACAACAACGAGCGGAGCGCCAGGTGGCTAAAGCACAGCAAGTTGGTACAGTAGGGGGCACAGGTGGTGCATCAGCCAGTCATCTCGGTCATCTCGGTCAGTCGACCCGTAGTACCTGGGTCTGCCCCGTGACCTACCAGCGGGCGTTCGACACTTCACGTGGCCTCAAGGTGCACATGGCCTGGCACAAGCGTCGTGGTGACATCACCGCCACTTAGTGGCGAATGGCGGGTTGTTGTTGTATGTGCGGAGAGGTAGTGCAGTGGTTAGTGCACTGTGCTACGAACCGGGCGATCTAATTTCGATTCCCGCTCACGGCCAATACCAGTGACGATTATCTGAACCGGTCATGGGCCTCCCCTAGGTCGACTCAGCCTCAAATGAGGACCTGTTGCGGTGTGTAAACATCGCCACTGGGAAGACAAGATGTCTGGGCATATTTGCTGGCCACCCACCCCATTGTGTGCCATGCTGGCCTTCATAGGTGCTCGCCAACAGCACTTGCCCCAACAGTCGGTTAAGGCTACACAGGGGATCTTTCTCTTTGTATGTGCATGTGCGCCGTTACTTGTGTGTTTTACGCGTGACATTTCACCACATGGGAGTCAGCCGAAGGTTTTGCTTTGCTCTACCCTCTCCTCTCACCTCTGCCTCTCTCCCTTTTATCATCCT